AGGTCCCAGTACCCTTGCCCGCTAAAGGGGGAGAAGACAGACAAGCCCCTAGGAGGGGGAGAGAAAGGAGCCCCGAGAGAGAGAGAGCGAGAGAGAGAGAGAGAAAGGCAGGCTCGGGAGCTCCACTGGCAGGTGTCGGCATTTTTCTGTTGAATTGTGGATGACCCCAGTGGGGGCAAGTTTATTTTCCTTGAAGAGGGGGAAACCAGCCTGAAAACCAGGGGTGGTCCCCTTAAGGTTTGCGGCCCAGAAAACTCAGCCCTGGCAAGGCAGGCAGTGTGGGGAAGATCTGCGGGGAGCAGCATCAACCCAGACTGAAGGCATGGTAAGGGTAGGGTAAAGGGGAGGTTTGGAGCCCCACAAAGACAACCCCAGGGTCAAGACACCTCCGGGCCCCAACCGGGAACTGCCTCCCCAACTGATAACAACAAAGACATGGCAGGCAAGAAAAGGGGCAGTGCCCAGACCACCTAGGTGGCACCAGAATAGGGTTTCACCCTGACGTCGCTGGGAGGCAGGGCACCCACGAAGAGGTCCCCAAAGCCTTACAATACCTACCAGCGACAATACTGTTCTCCCAGTGAGATCCCCTAAGGCTTAGAGCAGTGGTGTCCAATTTATGTAGCCCCATGAGCTGTGTCTTCTGATCTGTGGGGATGGGATTTGGTGGTGGCAGCATTAACTATTGCAGCTCCCAGAACCATTGTAGCCACCACTCCTCCCACCACCAAGTTTCCAGCCCCTGGGGACTCCCACAGGTCAGATGCTGTGGTTCCAGGCTCCCCAAGGGTCTGCAAATTTGGTGGGAGGACAGGCGGTATCAGCATTAATTCCTGGAGCCCTGGGAACTGCAGCAATTTATGCTGCCACCTCTTCCCACGCTGCCAAATTTCTGAACCCATTGGAAGCCTGAAAGGCTGGATGACATGACTCTGAAGGTTAGATCTGGCCCATGGGCTCTATCTTTCTCATCCCTGCCTTAGAATAAAGACAAACACACATTTCAGCTGCTTTAAAGGAGAAGAGGAGCTGCTGCTCAGCAGTGTGCATCAGATGTTACTATCTAACTGTTATGGCTACATCAGTGGTTCTCAACCTCTTTGGACTTGACCTACCGCTCACTGGACTCATGACACTCCTCCATGACTTCTGTGAATTGAGTGGTGCCCAATTTACTAGTGGGATGTACTAGTGACGTAGTGTGCACGGGTGTCTACATGTGACCAGGAGGTACTTCACCATAGCGGTGCATTCCTCCACTATAGTGCGTCACTACAGCAAGGTAGCTGTTAAACATAACCGTGAGCCACACACACGGCACAGTACGGGAGGTTACTGAGCCATGCTTTAGTATTTCCTTTTGGTACTTTTGGCAGTACTAAAGCACAGTGCAGTAACAACATTGCTACAGGGCAACATGTAGATGCACCCTGAATGAATAAGTGACTTATCCAAGGAAGAGTATGAACTAAACTCAGATCTACCAAGTCCCAAGCTTGTACCTTAACCATTTCTTTCTCTTAGGACTAATCCCCAGGTGCAGGGTCAATTCTGCTTTGTAATTGCTGAAAACAGGAGTAACATGACTTTGCTGCAATTTAAAGAATTGAACAGAACCACGTTATCATGTTTCAGGAAATCACAAACTCTAGATTTGATGATGCAGGAAAGGTGGAAGAAAGCTACCTGAATCCTTCATGAAAGGCAATTTATAGGATATCAGGTCTAATAAGAACTGTTCAGATCTAATGCTAAGACTGTACACACTGATGAACCTGCAAACGTTACTTTACAGTAACGTTCTCACACACTGTTAACTCTCTACAATTCTGAAATGTCTCTCTGCAAGAAGTCATCTGATTCAAGTATTCCAGGTCTGAAAACTAACTGGGGTTTGAGAAACTTGACTTTCAATGACAACCATTGTTCCTCATCTTGTATATAATAATGAGAAAAAAGATTTCAGTTGGATGTCAGCTGTGTTACTTTTGAGTTAGAATTAAAGTGTTGAAATGGAAGAATTGATTTACTGTTCAGATCTGGCTCCTGATATCTGAGCAAGCAGAACTCTTACCTCTGACAAGGAAAAGAAGAAATGGGAGACTAAAAGAAATAAAGGCATTGGAGGGAAAAAAAAGAACTTTAATTTATCTTTAAAAAGAGCTCCCACATACAAGGGAAGCTCAAGTACAAATCAGAAGTGGTATAAATTCTAATCTCTTTCCTGGCCAAGTAGCTGGAGGCAGGAAAGCTGCAATTATAATGTGCCAACAAAATAGCAACTCCTCCAGGCTGAACTAATTCAGGAATATTACATATGGAAACAAGAACCACTCCTCTTCCCCCTACCCTCAGGCTTATAATTAAAGGAAACTCAGAAGAGAAACATAGTCCTTTTTACTGCTCCTACTCAAAAGCTAAAGATCCTGTCTTGTCAGAGAATAAATCTCCCTAGGCTGAACAGAAGGATCTCTCTCCTAACCCATCTCAGGGACTCTCTTTCTAGCCTGTGACATGAATTTGGATTCCCAGCAAGATAGCACATCATGCTGTCACTAAATCAAAACATCCATCCCCTTCAGCTAAACTAGTGTAAACCCCCCCACAAAAATCCCAGACACACACATGGAAATAGAATTATATAAAAGAATGGGAGCTAAGACACTATTCCAAGCTTTGCCCAAACCCAGCAGATGACTGGAAATGACTGAACCTTTATGTACACCAGGTTTCTACTCTGCACTTTGGGAAGGCTAATTCTTACCTACATGATAGCAGTACCAACAAATACTTCTTTACTGCAGCTAAACCAGGCTCTCATCCAGGCATTAAGGCCAACCCATTCCATCATCCACAGACTCAAAAGCTTTTAAATTGTGTTTCTGTGCAGTTTGTTTGCTTGATCTGGGCACAGATTTTGCTTTAAGGCTGGCTCTAACCTGCCTACTCTGCAGTGAATATAAAAGCTGCGGCCTGAGCTCCAGAGCGTGGGTTTTGATGGTCCTCCAGAATGATCCCACAGTTCTCAGCAGCTCAGGGTGTTTCTCACCCTTCCACCTACTCACTTCTTACTCCCCTCACAAGCACCAGAAACTATCTGCCGATACATATGGTCTAAACTTCCGTTTCCTGTGACCTGACCCTGCTTCATACAGCTCAGTCCAGGCGAACAGCATGAGAAGATGCCGTCCAGATTATCTTCATCCCAGCATGCCACTAGCCAGCTGAAGGAGACATTAAGAAGCGGCTCAATGCCTACCTGGCTGGGGTCACTTGAGCCCAGTTTCCCTCCTGCCCAGGCAGGGGGTCGGACTTGAAGATCTACAAGGTCCCTTCTGGCCCTACTTCTATGATTCTATGATTAGGATCACAGTTGCCGTCTGGGGCAACTACACCAAGCAACACAATTGTGGGAGATGCCGGCGTGCAGACATGGATGCTGAGTGCATCTCCAAGAGGCTGCTGCAGAAGCAGAGGGTTGAGCAGATGGCTCTTGAGTCTGGGGAGAGAAGTCTAATCCTCAAGGGCTCCTAGCCCAGGGCAAAAGGTCCCAGCATCACACTGAGCCCTTCCCCACCAAGCTGTTTTCCCTCTGAAAAGTTTAGCAGTTCCCCACATGCACACAATCTATCCTCACCTGGGCTTTTGAGGTGAGCTGGTTTCATTGTTCACACCAGAGCCACCTATCCTGGAAAGGGCCCCCACAGCACAGGAACGCAGCACAGAGCTAGGAGGCATCTGCCTAGGAGCAGACTCAATAATACGGACAGGTGGGCTGGAGGGTCTCTCAGAAAACATGCTGGGGACTATTCTCCAAGTAGCCTGGGGATGCGAGTCAACAGCATGCGAAACAACCACAGCCTGCCGAGAAGCAAGGGTCTCTTGTGGGGCAAGGCGTGATTGTATGCAGGGGGCATGCACTTGGTGCGCCTGCACCCCGCTTTGATTTCTGCTTCACCCACAGTTTAACATGAAGCAGCAGCATTTCTAGCCAGGCAGTGCTGAGGGGGTCAACTGATTTCACAGCTCAAGATGACCTCCCTGATCTCAACTCTTCCTTCCCTGATGCCAGCCCACTCTGTCATGGCCAGGGGCTGGCTGCTCCCCCTGCCTGCTGCCCAGCTCCCCCACTACGGCTCTGTAGGGGATTAAGCCCCTTCCCATGGAGTTCCCTTTGCTCTTGCCTCCATCCTGAAGGGCACAAGGACCAGGCGGCCCCAGGTCCCTTGGCTTCCTAGGGAACCTGCTCCTTGCTTTTTGCCTGGGGAAAGAAAACATCTGCTGTTTTGGGGGTGGCAACCAGGAACCCTGGTTTTCTCCGATAAAAAAAATAAAAAAAAACAACAACTCAATTTTCGGATGAAGTAGCCCAAATCCACATGTTCCAGTGATTAAAACGAAACACCACTCACTCTCTCTCTACGTAGATAGATATAGTGGTGTTTCATTTTAGTCACAGGAAAATGTGGATTCTGGGTACTTTTTAAATTCCAAAATCCACATTTTTATGTGATTAAAATGAAACGCCATTAATATATAACACCAATTTTTGGATTAAAAAAAATAACCCCAAATCATATTAAAATGAAACGTCACTTATATCACAGAAAAATGTGGATTTGGGTTTTTTTTTAAATCCAAACATTGGTGATTTTTTTAAATCAGAGAAAACCAGGATCCCTGGTGACGACGCACCTCACGCCCTGCTCCGCTTTAAGGGGGAACAAACCCCCTCGACGCCTGCCCGCGCCTGGCAGAGGCGGCGCCGGGCCCTTGGGCAGCCCTGAGCCCGCCGCGCGAGGGACAGTTGAGGGGCCGCCCTCGCTCCAAGGCGGCGGGCTCCTGGGTGGGGGACTCCGTTAACGTCCGAGGCCTCGTCCCCGCCCTCGCGCCCTGCCTGTGGACCGCGTTGCCAGGCAACGACGGGAGCCCGCTGTCAACAGCAGCCGCGAGCCGGGTGACGTGAGACGCACGCTCCCCCCCGCAGCTCCTCGCATTACCTCATTCTCCCGGGCACAGTTATAAATAGAACGGCCTCCTGCGCAGGCTTACTGAGCGTTCGCTAAGAAAGCAGCCGGGGGGGAGGGTGGTTCCCTCCTCCTGTGAATCACTGCTTGCCTTGACCCTACAGCGAAAAAAAACTGGGTTGACCCTCGCCGGCCGCCGTATGCCGGGCAGGTAGCGTCACCACGCAGCCCTGGATTGCCCGATCCCCGCTCTATTTTTAGCCCTTTGTTTCAGGCCTCCTCCCCTTGCGCCAAGAGCGGACCGGATGACGCTATTCGTTTCCCGGAACGATGACGCGGCCGCGTCAGCGGGAGGGAGAGCGCTGGAATGTTCACCGTGGTCGTTGTTCCTTAAAGGGGGCGCGGGCCGTTTTCTGCCTTTGCTCCTGTGCCCTGCCTAGTGAAACCAGGGCGGGCGTGTCCCCAACGTGGAGGGCAGGGCTGATCCTGCGGCCAAGGCCCAGTGGGGCATGGCGGCCCAGGCAGGCCTCCCCTGGCTTGGCAGCCTGTGCAATGCCAGCTTCCCCACATCTGCCTCTTGTGCGGGGGTCACCCCTGCCTAGTCACTGTTCATCCCTGGGCACCCAGGACCCCGTCCAGGGGCCAGGCAGGGTGACTTGCCCCAGGTGCCCCCACCCGCTTCCTGGGCTATAACTGCCCTCCGCCGCCATGCTCCATCAAGCTGGGGCACAGCCAGGAGTTGGGCTCTGGAGCCCCAGGTGACTTCCCCCACCCAGTGGGCTGCTGGCCAGTGCCCCAGCAACAAAGTTTGGTACCCAAGGTGAAGCTCACCCTCATCCTATCCACAGATCTGGCGGGCACATGTCCCCTCACTTGCCCGGGAGTACACACAGCTGTGGGAGCCACCCTTCCTCCATCCCCTTGCCCTTCCAAACAAGCTCCGTCTCCTCCCCGGCTGGGCAGCACCTGCTGGCGCCCCTTCGCTTTGGCACCCATGGCGGTCACCCCCCGCTCCCCCCAGCTGCTGGCTTCCCCATACTGTTGTGTCCCCTGCTCTGGCAAAGTCAGGCCTGCTCTGTCTTCATCCCTTGAGAGACCCACCTTGTCTCAGCCAGGGTTTTCCTCAGCGGGAACTGCCCCCCCCACACACCTCTGTTCCTCCAGGGTCTCTGTGTCCGTCTCCAGCTCCCCCGACATGCTGCCATGTTACGGGGGTGGTAGAAGTTCACTCTCATTCAACCCTTCTCAGTTGCACTGTCAAGGTAGCTCATTCTCACTCTTTCTGATTCTCCTACATGTCCTTCCATCCCTCCAGTTCCCCTGCCCTCCCCATGTCTGGATCGTTGCCTCTCCTGGATCTTCTCTACCCAAATGACTCCCTAGCCTTTGTCCCCCTCCCCCCTTTCCCCTTAAGTGTCTGACTCCCTTGCAGCTCTGCTTCTTCTCCCCCACATCCCTACATTTCCTCGTCTTCCCCAGGATTCCTTCATGTTCCTCAGCTCCCCTCCCCTCTTATTTATCCTTCTTCCCTAGCTCCTCTACATTCCCATCTGCGCCTGACTTCAAGGTCCCCAAAGTCTTCTCAGCCATATTTCTCCCTGAGTTCACCTTCCTGATTCCCAAGCTGACCCGTTACCAAGGTCCCCAGATAGTAATATGGGCCAAGAGAAGTAGCAACACAAACGAATGAGGACAAGAGGACAGAGAGAGAGAGAGGTATATAGCATATGATACCTAGCTGGTTAGACGGAAAGGGTAAACAGATGATTAATAGAGAATGAAAGATAGACTGATGACAGGCAGACACAGGTGACAGATAGATTAGATAGATGGACATACAGATAGATAACACTATTTTTTGTTCAAACACATAATTCCCCTGCCACATGATAGGATTTTATTTATATATTTCACTGACGGGGGCATCAGGAATTTGTTGTGACCAATTAGATGGTACGTGAACAGGGGTCAGCGGACTAATTATCATGGAGGATCCGCCACTACTAAAAAAAAATTGCTTTGGTGACTTCAGTACATTTTTTACCCTGGAAACATACAAATATTCAGATAATCAAAGTTTAGGATATTTGTGAGAGTGGGGAGACAGTGGAAGCTGAAGCTTGTGATATCTGCTCTGGGGATGTAGCTGAGATTTGGGGCAAGGTTTGGATTACAGCTACCTTTTGTGGGTAGTTTAATTGCTTGTAAACAGGGCACAGATGCATTTAATATATGTCAAGTATCCAGGGCCTATGACTACAAATGAAAAAAAGTAAAAGAATCCAGGGGAAATAGTAATTTCTAAAACACAGGACAACTTCACCCCCAATTTCATTTAATTGATATAATGAGGTGATGGCAGGGATCAATTTGTCTGATTTTATTTTATTTGTATTAACTCAGTTTGAGAATCTAAGGTAACACCATTCCATTTTAACACTGGATTTTACTTTCAATTGTTTACTTTTTTCCTATCATAAATCATTTAATGGATAAAGAGAAACTTAGTATAAATGGTTTCTTCTTCCAGTCCGACAGGGCCCCATTCTGCTGAGAGAAGGAGTTCCAGCCTAAGCTTTAAATCTACAGAGCATCCTTTTATACATGTGTCTATTTGTAAGCTACTTTAAAATAATTAATAAATAATTAACAAAATGATAGATTAATTTACCAAACAAAATAGTCTATTAAAATATGCTTTGTCAATATTTTTAATTCAAAACCAGAGGTACCAGATATTGTAGTAAAGGTTACATGTGTGAAACAGTAAGTTGTTTCTTCTGTGTAGACAACGTTAAAAACTAAGTAAAAATAATTATATCCAACAAAGTTCTGTTAGTTTTGAACCATGCTGTTGTCCATAGTAGGATATTTTTGGATTAGGAGCTGTGCTCTGAAATAAAGCCCCTCACTCACTTTTAAGGTCGAGATGATGCTGTGGCTTCATATTTAGATCATGGCTAGTAGTGAAATCTAGGGTGCAATTAGTCACCTATGACATGGACTTTATATTCCCACTTAATTTAGTAACAACAGTTGGTTTCTTGGGAGGCATATGAAATTTGGTTTATTAACAGAGAGTTTCTAGAATAAGTCAACAGAAAGATTTGAAAAGGATGAGATGAGGAGTCGAGACATGAAGGGAGATGTTCTGAAATGGAGGTAGAGCTTCTTAAGGATTTTAATACAGATAAATGTAAGTCATGTCTTCTAATTTTCTCAACCAGGGCTACATAAAGTAATGAATACTGTACATATGGATTAATAATCAAATATTCTTATACACACTTTTGTACTAGTTACTTTTATCCCATGCTTCAGGTATCTCACTAGGACTTTCATTTCAGACTTTACCAGTTGTTTAATTCTGTAGTTCATTTGATTTTACTTTAACAGTACAGCAAGATCTATTGCAAACATGAATGTTTAGAGTAAAACTTGTTTTATCTGAAACAAATGCATTCATTTACATCCAGATGGCAAATATTGTTCATATTACACTGTTTAATCTGGTAAATGTATATATTAATATATATCTGAATTTGTAAAATCCTGGTTATACAAATACCAAAGATTATGTATCTTTCTACTGTATACTGCAGTTTAAAATTGAGATATCCAACACACCACATATTTACAACGCTTTTTGTTTTAAAACTAGATCAAATCCTCATCCTACTCCCAACCCCATGGACAGGTGCAAGTCAGGGCAGAATTTTGTGCCCTGTTAACTTTTCAAGGAATTATCAGCTCCTAGCAACTGATGATCAAAAATTAGGTTATTTGATGCAAATGGAAATTAAAAGACAATTGCATAAAGAGGGAAAATTTGAAAGACATTGAAGATGTCAATTTTGAAATGTAATATAATTAAAATGTCAGTTTAAATAATTCATTGAAGATTAGCTAAACAATTAATGCCAGAAGTTAGGTACATGAGATCTCTGCACTAGATTCCTGGGAAAATCAGATTTTAGAAACTCATTACTTTTCATGTTATTTTCTTTAACATAAACAATCAGGTTGTCTTATTAACACTAAGGTTAGCTAATAAATATTAATAAGAACTTTCTGTTCCAGTTAATCTGAATTTGATTGTTACTCACACTTTTTCTGAGTGACTATCATAATTTCACATCACTTGTTACATGAGAGATTTTTTCCCCTAATCTCTCTCTCCTGGGCTGAGAAAAGTATAGAGCAGTCAGAAACTGGCATTAAGGTGAAACTCTTATACGAGGAGCCTTCTGTTTCTCTGTGACTCATTTGACATTAACATAATTATGTTACAAGAGTCAAAGTGATTTTCAAACTATGAGTAATGCACAATACTAGAGAGTGTTTACAAGAGAGCAAGGCATATCAGCTAGCTGAAGTAACCAGCTGCTGATAACAGCTGAAGTAAGTTAGAGAATTAAAACGTCTTTACAGTAAAATTACCCTTTTTTGGAATGCTCAGTTACATACAGAAGTGGGATAGTGTATTGTGAAGTAGGATTCAAAACCAACATCATACTGTAATTGGGATAAGACTGAGTTTGTGGATAAGGCTTCACTAGATTTCTTCCAGCTTTTATGGAAAAGTCATGCTCAAATGATAGCTTGGTTCATTTCAAGAAGTGCCTATATGCCAGGATTTATTTCCAAAACACAAAACACATCCTCTCAGCAGCATGAGAAGAGCAAAAATGAAACAAAAAATGAGGTCATTCCCCAAATATTTTGAGTCTACCGTATGTGAATGACTCAAAAGAAGAAAACTGACAGCAATAACACACATTCAGAGTTATATTACCATGATCAAATATTTTAAAATAAGTACAATTTTACTATTAGCACCAAAGAGAACATGCTTTCTTCTTAATAGAAATATTTAACAGAAGGTCAGTGATGATATTTAACTGAGATTTATGATAATGTGTATTTATGCACTGAACAATGCATTAAAATGGGTCTCTGCTAAAGAGAGAAAATGTAAGAAAAAAATTAACTGGTAGTACTTCTTGGTTCTATTGTAATGCTCTGTATTTCTTATAAAATTATTGACATGTCATAAGAACAAAACAAATATACAGAAATAATGTTCATGTATGTTTTTTCTGAGTTTTATACCTTGATTTTATGAGCATGTTCATTTTAGTTAAAACGGGACACGCTGTTTTTGTCTGCTCTTCCTTACAAAGGCCATTATTCAGTGAGGTGTTGAGCATTCTGAACCCCATCGTTGACTTAGAAAAATTTGTGGTCATTCATCAACTCCCAGGATTGATCTATGTAAGCTATAAAATACTTCTTAAGAGAAGCTACTTTCAGTGTTGTAGACAACTGTAACGGGGCAATAATCAGTAAACATTTTCTTGTAAAAATGTCCATAAAAATAGAAACGGCCAAGGTAGAGAAATGTAAGAGGTGCATGAAGTAGCAGAAGAAATGTAATCAAATAGAATGTTATCCACGAGGCAGTCACAATTATTTAAAGAATTTAAAATATCTGCAACTCTCAAAAACACCTAAGTCAATCATTTCAGTGCAGAAAAGCTGCTCTGGATCCAGTCAGACGTTCAGCATGGTGAAATTAGCCTACCCTGGCCTGTTGCAGAGTTAGACCAGCACCAGAGGTGGTTACAAGCAAGTGTATGGCAGGAGAAGATGGAGAAAATATTGTTCAAGTGTTTTAGCTCCTGCTGATAACATTACCATGTTTGCCTGGGGACTAAGCATCAACAATCTTGGATTTGTTTTTTCCTGTTCTGCCATTGTCTTGCTTTGTGACTTCAGGCAAATCTCCTGGCCTCTATCTGCTACTTTTATTGTGAGGCTTAAGATATGAATAGTGATTAGGGATCCTGGAATCACACCTGCTACACAAATGCAACATATTATCAATATGTATATGCAACATCACATGCTCCAAAAATGTGAAAATATTATTTCCCATAGTACAACCTAGCAGCCAGAAACCAGTTGTAACTTGTAGTAAACACATCCTGCAGCTTTAGTTTTATAGTTACTGATACATTAAGTCATTTCTGCAGTTTCACGCAGTTACTGCAATGTGCTATACCACTCTTCTGCAAAACCAAATGAAATTGTCTTTTCATTCTATTTCAGTATATTAGGGTGAAAAGGAACATGGAATCACCAAATCTCAACTATCAAATTGTTAGAAAATATATACCACCCTTATAATGATGCTTTTATGTCCCATAATAAAGTTTGTGTCGTAAATTTCATTATAAAAACTTGTTTCATATAATTATTATTATTAATCTTATAACAGTAGAGCTAGTTTCCCGTTTATGCAGTGCTACTGCAATACCTCCATTATTATTTATTATTATAGATCTCCCTACATTGAGCCTTAAGAATAGCAGCTGTTTGAGTCCCTTCATACAAATATTTCTGCAGTGCACTGTGGAGAGGATTGCTCTTTACAGGATCCCTCACTTTTAGCTCCTAGTGCCTCATATAATACTTGGTTCTAATGAAATTTCCACCCTCAGAGAAGTTGTCTGAGGAATTTCACCAGTACTTACTTTTATTTCTTTGTGTGGCACAGTGAACCAATCATCTTGCCTTTTTTGTTCCTGTAACATGGTGACATTTAAGGCCAAATTCTGCAGTGACACCCATCCTGTGCAAATTTCAAGTACCGAAATTGGGTTCTTGTTTGGGCCTCTATAAGTGGTACAGTTGCCCCTGGTTCAGCTTACAAAATAATGTGGTAAATTAGGGCATGCTAAAAACTAAAAGTGGCTGCTTACAAAAGTTTACGCACCTCTGATTTTGTTAATCTATAACAGGGATGCTCAACCCCTGGCCTCTTGGCCAGATCATCTGGCCCATGGGGCTGCCCAAGGATATGTGGGGAGCCCTGGGGCCATGGCCTATGTGCTATATTGGGTATGCAGGTCAACACAGAGCCCGATAACAGTGTGTGGGGGCTCCAGAGCCCGATCCCAGCTGGGTAGAGGTGTCAAGGAGTCCCCAAGGACCCAATCCTAGCTGGTCAGGAACAGCACAAGGCCCCAGAGCTGGATCCTGGCTGGACAGAGGCAGAATGGGACCCTTGGACCTCTATTCTGGCCAAGTGGGGACTGGGTGGAGACGGTATGTGGCCCTGGGGCCTGATTCTGGCCAGGTGGGGGCAGCACGGAGCCTGATGTCACCTGTGCACCATTCATCTAGCCTGTAGGGCCAAAACCATAAGCCTCGCTGCTCTATAAGGTGCAAATCTATCTTGCCTTTTGCCTGACTTTTAACTAACACAGCTAACTCTCTCTCTCTGACAAAACTAAACCATTTTAAACAACATGCTGCCATTTGTACGTTCTGTGACTCTTGCTGATCCTTTTTGTTTTGCATGTGTTTGAACTGAGTCAGTGAGCAAAACATCCAGAGAATGTGTTGAGAGGGCTAGAGATCAAGGAAAAATAGACAGGTCTACTTGATGGTAAACTGATTTTTTGACTGATGGATGGGTGAAAACCAAAGTGTGTGGATGCAAGAGTTATTTAGTGGTATCTTTTATTGGACCAAATGTATATTTATTACAAAAGTACTCTTAATTCTTGTATATATCACAGGCCAACACAGCTACAGCAATACTCTATGAAGAGTGTAGAAAAATAAGATCCCAATGTGGAGGCATCTAGCCTTTGAATTCTAAGGGCTAAGACAGGCTAAGGTGACAGTGAAGCACAGGAATGGAGGGAGCTTAATAAAGGCTCACACAGGTTCTGGGTGTGGAGACACAATATAATTGTATGGAGAGCCCTGATCTCAAGAAATTTCACTAAGATCTACAAGTTCAAAGACTGAAACTCTGCCCATTCTTTGAGGGCTGCTGCTGCAGGAGGACAATTTGGTGGAAACTGCAAGGGAATTTGGCTCAAAATTTTGCTCCCTTAATCCTCCCACGGGTTTTTTTTTTCTTGGGGGACTCTGAACCCATTTTATGCTCTACGTTTTAGAACGGAGGTGTCAAACTCATATGATTCAGACTGTGGGGCTTCTTATGGGCTGGATGACCCACATCCAGATCCGGCCCATGGGATGGCACTTCTTGCTATGGCTGCCGCAAGTGCTGTATTGGCGCGGCCAGGACACAAGCTTTAATACTTTCACTGCTTGCTGCTTACCTTGTGGCCAATATGCGCGCTGAGCAGTGACTGCAAATCAGACATTCTGTGGTGG